CAACCCATAGAGTTGGCTTGTCAGAAAAACTGCTTACTCATTACACAGGTCCATACCGAGTCCTTCCTGTGGTTATTCCTGTGACATATGAAATTAGCCCTGTCGCCCTGTCCCCTTCATGTGCCCCACAGGCTACAAATATTGTACATGTTGCGCGCTTGAAGCCCTACAACTCTCCCAGTGACATTGACATTTATATGCGCTGAGACGGCGCATCTGCCGCCGGGGATTATGCCACGTGCATGCATTATGCATATTGATATTCTGACCGGCAACGCGCGTGTGTGCCTTACGAGGAAGACGAAGTGCTGTCTCCGCTCGATCGCTGGTGAACCAATCATACCATCACTGCTGGTTTTATATACATCTCATCCACAGTCTCGTCGATACGGCGTTGCATCTTATCCGTATCAATATCGCCCAAATAACAGCAAGGCATTTCTTCTCTCTTGTCGAGTAAATAGTTTCCGCAGATGACATAATGCGACTAGCATAAGCGATGGGGCGCTCAGCGCCGTCTTGCCACTGGACAAGCACTGCACTAAGACCATGTTAATTGTGTCAGTGTGCAGTTCGGTGGCGGCATCTTCATCAAAGTGCCCCGAGCGTCCAGTTTGAAGGCACTGATGAATATCGGAAAAAGCGGCTATCTGCTCTGGACCAAATGCAAAAGGAGTATTCTCCTTCGTTAAGCGGGTAAGGGGTTCAGCGATATGAAAGAAGTTCTGCACAAAGCGCCTGTAGTATGCGCAGAGACCCAAGAATCGACTCACATCCAGTTTATTCGAAGGCGGGGGGAAATGCCGCAAAAGCCATTGTTTTTTCTGGGCCTGGTCGAATGCCATCGTGACTTACAAGGTGGCTGAGGAAATTTAGTTCCTCGTTGCCAAAATGACACTTCTCAGGTTTTAGTGATAGGCCTGAGGATCGAATAGTGACAAAGACGGACTGAAGTCAATGTATACGTTGCACAAATGTCTGGCAAAGAACGACGTCATCTAAATAGATGAAGCAGGATTCCCCCCTTGGACCAGACAGCACGGTGTCTATCATCCTTTGGAACGTTGCCGGTGCAGAGCACAATCCAAACGGTAGCACTTTTAAATTCGTAGAGGCCATCGAGAGTTGTTAACGCTGTTTTTTCCCTGTGGCGTTCATCGACCTGAATCTGCCAGTAGCCGCAGCGCAAATCCATTGATGAAAAATATTGGGCATGTCGAAGTAGATCCAGTGAGTCATCTAAGCGAGGGAGAAGATAGACGTCTTTCTTCGTCACTTGGTTTAGTTTCCACTAATCCTTGCAATATCGAAGAGTGCAGTCTTTCTTTTTAACAAGTACGATGGGCAACACCCATGGACTGTTCGAGGGTTGGATGACGTGGTCGCCAAGCATCTGTTTCACCTGAGAACATATCTCCTCTTGTTCTTTTTGCGACATGCGGTAGACGTGCTGTCGTACAGGCTATTCGGTAGGGTGCGTTTTAATGCGGTGCTTCACGGTTCGGGTCTTTACGGTTGGAAGTGGACGCAAAGCAGTCACTACATCGCGTAAAATCATGTGTATCTGCTCCTCCTGCACAGAGGATAGCTGGAAATTCACATCAACTGTACTGGTCAATGCATCATCACATTCGGCGGCAGTGGCAATCGGAGTGATAGTAGAACATGCTTCGTCATCCATGGCTTGGAAGTTCGCGATCGCTGTTCGCTTTGCCAATTTTTGGTACGCGCCGCTGAAATTTGTGATCAAAAGCTGAGCCCTCCAACGTTTCAGTTGGACAATACCGCACGCGACATATATTTGTCGAGCTAAGAGCACCGTGAGGTTACTTCCAACGATACCGCTACTCTTGTCACAGTCGCTCTTCACAGTTACCAACACACACCAACTCGCAGCAGAAGTGCGATGGTGTCGTCAGCATTTCGAAGTATTGTGGTCTGCGCAGCTGTATCCTTTTATCTAGGTTTATGGTCATCAGAGAACATTATGAGCAGGTCGCAAAGGTTAATAACGGCTCCATGCCTGCAGAAGAAATCCATTCCGAGAATAAGGTTCTGGGAGCATTCGCGCAATACGACAAAAGAAGCAATGTATGTCGACTCACGAATTTAGAGCCATGCGGTGCATACTCCCAGCGGTGTCAATAAGTGACCTTCTGCTGTCCGGAGGTTGGATCCATGTCCCCAAGGTGTCGTTACTTTTCGCAGTTGTGCAACGAGGTCAGCGCTTATCACAGAATAATTGGCGCCTGTGTCTACCAGAGGGGTTACCGGGTGTTTGTCTACAAAAACGGAGATGCGAGCAGGGACCCATTTGTTGTTGATGGCATACATCGGCAAAAAAATATCGTCGGATGTCGGCAGGCAGTTCGAGGGAGGGTCTTGTAACGGTTAACGGTCGATCAACAGCGGCCTCACCCCCAGAGGTTGCTGTTCTTAGTTTCCCCGGAGCGGGCTTGTGGACCCAAGTGATCGTCACGCAAGGACGTTCACGAAAGTCAATTGTTGGCCAGGTGACGTGGAGCCCTGTGGAGACGGTGAGCGACACTGGCGATGCAGAAGGGTTGGGGACTGCTGGATTGCCAAGTACTCAGCGATAGCACAGGGCCACCCCCCATACTTAGGTCGACGAGCATCTGGAAGGAAGTCAGGAAGACCCATGTGCCGGTATGCACACTCATGATAGATGAGACCTGGTTCACCATAGTGAAAACAGAGGGGCCGGTTGTCGGGAGCACTCTACCTACTGGATTTCCATACAAGTGGCAGGTTGCCGTACTGCGGTGGTGCTGAGTAGAACAATGGCACTGTCTGCAGGGTGGACGGACGAGACGGATAGCCGACAGCCGGTGCAAGAGTACGCAATGCTTCCCACATACGTTAATAGCGGAGCTTCGGCTGTATCCCGGACCATCATGGGTTACACCTCGGCTGGATGTGGAGCCCTCATGGGCTGCACCAGCTGCCAAACCTCTTCGCGGACGACATCTGTTAGAGCAGCAACATGGGGCTGAAGTGACACCGCGTGCAGCTTTTGCAGCTTTTTTGCGCAAAATACTGCACACGAGCTCCATGAGGTCTTTTATAGTCATAATGTGAGGTGTTGCCAGGGCCGATGATACTGGTGAAAGACTGCCAGGACGCTCAAACTGAGACGAATGTTGCCTTAACAATCTCTCCATCGTCGTGGCTTCGTGGAGGAATTCCGCTACAGTGCTGGGAGGCCTGCGCACTAGTCCTGCAAACAACTGCTCTTTGAATTCCCGCATCAGTATACGCACCTTCTCTTGCGTATTTGAGGAGTCAGCTCGCCTGAACAGCTGTGACATGTCCTCAATGAACATGGCAATGCTCTTGTTCAGGCGCTGATATCAGGAACGAGGGAAACGTTCCGCTTGCTCCTTTTGGTCAGAGCTTCGGAAGGTATTCTGCAACTGGGTGCAAAACTCTGGCCAGGTTGTCTTTGTGGCTTCATGGTTTTCGAATCAAGTGCACGCAGAGTCCTCGAGGTAAAAGTAGACATACCAAGCTTTCAATGCTCGTTCCACTCATTGATAGTGACGCAACGTTTGTAGTCGTCAAGCCAGTCACCGACGTCCTCATAAGGGTCACCGTGAAACGGCTTCGGGGTTCGCGGGGCATTGAAGAACCATAGAGGAGGCAGTCTCTAGAGTTGGCGTTCCCACACTGGCCATAATTCTGTCGAGTTGTGGATGGGGCCCGAATTCAGGTGGTAGGCCTAGTTGTCACCGGATACGCCGTAAGTCAGCTGGTTCTTTCAACACTTTAGTATTGTTAGGATCTTCCTGCTGATTGTAGTGCATAGAGCACTACCCCACACCTCCACCAGAAAATGTCAGGTGATTACAGATAGAACACAACGTCTGTTCATAGGAGCAGCAGCACTGGACGTCGAACTGAACCGATCACCATGAACACAAGCCCATCGCCCAGTCTTCTTTGTCGCAATGACACATACACGCATTGGCATGGCTGAATCTCGTTCCTATGCCCGTGGCAATATGTGAACCCCGACAGTCTCTGCGAGCTGCCTCCTCCCGGCGGGCTTTTTTTGCGGCACTGTGGAGATGGATCATTGCTCTTTGGCTCGAGCGAGGTTTCCAGCGGCGGCATGCACTTTTTTGCCAATGGCAGTGAAAGTCTTGTGGTGCACTGAAAACACTAAGGACTGCACAAAACCGCACAAGCTGCTTGTGTCCGCGCCCTTGAAATCAAAGTTCACTCTTGCCACTTGTAAGACCCCCCCACCCCCCTCGTGTTTTAGATGTAAAGTGTCTTATGGCCGAGCTCAATCCAGTGTGCGCCATGACCACCCCTACAGGGCACTCGCCATGTGCAATTAAAATGGCATGAAGGGAAGCTATTTTTGAGCTACGTTTTTTCCATTAGTGCAATAAAAGAACCCCTCAGAATTAAAATAACGGCACCATTTCTTTGTTCTTTGATTTACTAAAAAAGTTCTGATGAATTTGCTACCACATTCTTTTTTTTTTTTTTGCCAAAAAAAAAGGGGGGGGGGGTTCAAATGTTGCAACCGATGGGACAATATGTTTTACGTTTGGTAGAGGTGTGACCACAGAACTCAAACAACTCTGAGGGATGTCCCCACGATGCAAGCACCGAGTCCATGCCGAATTACAAGTACACTTTTGGCGTTTCCTTTCATTAATTCAAGTTCAGGTCCTTATACTGCTCTCTTTGCTGTCACTCTCGCCGCTTCCAGTGCGATTACTTGTGAAGTAAGAATAAACAAAGTGATGTGTTGGGCTAGTTAGATTTTCATGACAGTTGCTGCAAAAAATGAAGGAGGAGACACGAAATGAAGTGGACAGTACAAGCGCGAGTAATGTTCACTTCATTTCAAGTCTCCTCCCTAACTTTATTTTTTGAAGCCCAATTTTCGCAATAAAAGTAAGAAGAAGCTTTAGAAAGAAGCACTGTCCACCTCACAATGTGCTCCAGAAAATGGTGGCACTCACTTTGCAATCAGTTCCTCCTTGGACAGCCGCTCCAGTTCATCTTTGGGCAGCTGCACCTGTGTGGGCAGACATACAATGAGAGCTCACATCCCTGCTCAACCTGGAGTGACACAAGTGCAGCTGATTAGAAAAGTTTCAGCTAAGCATGCGCAACAAGTATGAACAACTGGCATTGTGGTATGCCTATTAGAAGATTAAAACACAACACGTGGCATTCTTCTTTTTCGGGTGCAAGAGCCATGCATGGTCAAAAAGTGTGATTGCAATTACTGGCTTAGGTAATGGTCTTTCTTTCCTCTCACTTTCAACTGAAGGATGAATTCATACAGCTACATAACATAGCTCTATGTTGGTATAAAGATATTTGCTGTGAATAGCAAAAAATATTCATAAGAACTACGAAGTGCTGTTGCAGTAGCAGAGGAGAGCCCCGGAAAACAAGAATGGGAGGTATAGTAAGTGGCAGCTTCACTCAAAGACTCCAATGTACCTCCAGAGCTCTGATGTGAGCTCGTCTTTCAGTCTCCAAATCTCAAGGGAAGCCTAAAAGGCCACCCTTTCAGCACTGTTATCCAAGAGGCTATCACAGTATCAGGTCGCAGCAGGCAACTTTCAGAAAACCTTTCCCAGCATCAGCATTGCATTAGTAGCACTGTATCCCAAGAAAGGTCATTTCGAAGAACTTCTAGAATACGTACCGACTGAAACAACCAATTCTTTTTACATAACCCCATCTTATTAACGAAAAACCATGAGCATATGTCAGCAGAAATGCAGAGCCAACTCGTTTGACTCGGCATACAGGCTTTCCAAGGGGCTTGTGCTATAAGCACCTCTTACCAGCTGTATGTCGAGGATACAGACTGTTGAGAGCAATGTCTGCCACAGAACATATACACAGAGAACCTTAGTTGAAATACAAGTGCATTATCTTTTTACACAGGAAAAATAGAGACACCTCCTGTACCCATAGGTCGGTAAGCTCACTCTAGAGTCGACTCAATTGGACTCAGAGTGAGCTATGAGTCCGGTTGAAGAAAATTTTCGTGCTTGTGAGCCCGAGTGAGTCCAAGGTGCAAGCTCCACTTTTTTTTTGCCAACCTATGATCCTATCTACTGATCTTCAGCATCACTATCAGCTTTGCCGTGGATTCACATTTATACGTGTGTCTACTTACACATATTCCAAAGCAGTGTCATCAATACACTATTTCAAAATTTATCGAATACTGGTGCAAATTACTTTGGGGGAGTGCTTTGACTCCCCCCACTCCCCCTCGCTAACTATTCCAGTGAAGTGTTTAATAAGTACATTATGTTGTCTTTTCTTTCAAGAAGAATGCTCTAACTTGTTTGTGAACACTCATAACTTGTATTCAAAGGTACTACATGAAAAGGCGCCAAAAAGAGACAGATGGGTGTCCGTGGGCACCACTGTTGAAAAAGCTCATTCTAAGCTAGCGGACTCGTGAGTTCATTCACGCAGGCTCAGATCGAGCTGTGAGTCCGGGTGAGAAACATTTTGGCGAGTCTGAATGAGAGCTAAGCACAAAATATTTTTCATGAGTGAGTCCGAGTGAGTTTTTGCCGACCTGTGCCTACTTCAGGCTGTTCAAGACAACAGCCTGTGCTGACTTCGCAGTCGTCATGCCTTGCACTTTCATATGTTTCAAATGTGACCCAGTAGCAATACCTGAAAATTTGTGCTCGACACAGCCAGTCTTCCTCCCTTCAGCTCACAAGCTCTGGCAACACACGTTGTTTGCTTCAGACATGTGCGCTCTCTTTTTCTTTGTCTCAGAGGGTTCGGGTTCAATATCAACAATCTTCAAAAGCCCCCTTTCACAACTTTAGCCTCCCTGTCGCTCACCGAATGCAACAATCAGGGGTGTAACAACCAAATAGGACCTGGAAAAATTTTTGGAGCAGCTGAATGTTGCTTCAAAATGTAAATGTTGTAAATAAATGTTGAATTTTTTAGCCTGTAGTTCGAAATTTTCAGTAGTACAACAAATTAGACCGATATTTAGAAAAGAAAAATATATTAGACTATTTACCATTCACTAACTCATGCACAGTGAACGTGACCACTGCTATTTGAATAAAAGCAGTCTGTTGAGCTGTCCCACAGACATCATCAAAGCTCACATTGGTATTTGCTGAGCCTGTCAAACTGTCCGACAGGCGACCTAATAATTCTGGAGCTTTGTAAAGCAGAAGCTATAAGAGATGGCAAAATAAAAGCCGCCGTATCTTTTCTGTATTTTTTTTACAGAAGCGTCATACATTGCTCTGAATGATCGCCAGTAATTTTTAGATGCCAGTAGTCGTAACCCCGAGGTTAAGGTATAGTGAACAAATAGTCAAGGTTATGGTTCACGCATCTGGATTGGAGCAAATGATGGGGCACAAACTGCAGGTTACTCACACATTTTGTATTTGTTTTGTAAGATTAACAGTCCTAATAAGATATAGTGGCTGATTGGGTGTTTTGATGCAGCTTTGCGCAAAAATAAGAAATTGTATCCGATTGATGCAGCTGTTACACCCCTGAAGATTGCATGTTCAGTAACCCCCCCCCCCCCCCCCCCCCCCCCTTATGATCTACATGAGTGAAAGAGTATGCAAGGCGTCACAGTATCTAATGAATTCATTTTAGCAATAGAGTGCAACTCGTCCTGTCTCCCTGTTGTATGCTCGTCTCCTGCGTGAATGTGTGTGACGGTACACTGCCAACTCTGACACAGGATGTCCACAGTGTCCGGCAGCACCCCTTAAGAGGTCGCAAAAGATTCCACGGTGTCATGTAATGTGATATGTACCCTTCACACGGAGAAGCAGCAACATAAAAATATGTATACATTGCTTCTTCATGACAAAAAGTACTTGCAAAAAAAAAAAAAAAACTCTATGTATCCAAAGGCATCATAGATATATTTTTCTGCGCAAGCAAGACATTATTTGTGAGTATGCACATAAATGTCAAATTTTTTTTAAAAGATAAAAATCCAGCATGTGCTCAGGAATGTTGTCCTGAAACAAATTTACAAGTAAACTGAAGGCGTTGCGGAAATTGTATCTTGAATATTTATTTTCAAAAACTAGGACTATGTGGCCAGATGCGACATTGACAAATTTAAAGCCCCAAGAAAGAACACATTTCTGATAACTTTCATCATGAAAATAAGCAGCCATGCGACACAACCATTTCAAATGGACCCATGCAGCAATCGAGCAGTAGTTATGATAACTTCTCCATTCTTTTCTTTTTCCAATGCATTAGTTCCCTAACTTCTTTGCACTTGCACCAGAAATTTCGAAGATTTCTAATCAATACCTTAGTCAAGGGAAAAAAAAAAAGAGTTCAGCAATTCCTTTGGTTCTGAGCTTATGCATCGCAACAACAGGACTTCTCACTAACCTGACTTGCATTATCTTCTCAGTAAGTTGCCGCGTACCTGCTATGCGAGGTTTTTTTAAGTTGACCCTTCGTGCGACAGTGAAACACATACGTACCACTTTTCTGTCTACTGATAAATATTTCTTTCAGATCACCCATTGCAATTAGCTCAACATGATTCATTCATATTTCACCTGAGTGTTCGTCATCTGGAGGAAATTTCTTTTACCATACTTTTGAAGGGCGGGTGTATTGTTACAATGGCATTGAAATTCAGTCAAATTTTATATAATAGCCTATAATATTTCTTCTTCAAATAACACCTACCAATCAAAATGCCTGATAATTTACTTTTTTTCAGGTTTTTGACAGAGACAATGTTAGCTTCCAGTCATAATGTATTTTTGTAAATTTGCCTAATTACTTGACCAATAAAAGCATCAAAACAATCTGCTGCAAAATTGCCTGGCTCATCTGTCAAAGCAGATATTGATGTGTGGGAATATTTTTCTTTATGTCATATAGCTCTTGAAAAGTAGGCACATGTTCAGGGACAACAATTGTACTGGACAATTTCGACAGCAAAGGCAAGGACAGCCATTAGGACAAAAGAAAAAGTGGTTCATGCATTTGGTGAAGTATGCCTTACAGGAACCAACCACATCTCTTTGAAGACACTACTGCAGGTGGTGATCTCGTGTTGAAATGAGGTCCAAACAACTTGCCTTTTAACAACTTATGAAGTGACACTCTGTGCCACTTTCTTCAGCCATTTCATCCCAAAATACCAGTGATGCAATGACGAGGTTGTGTTTTCATGAGACAATGTTTTACCATTTTTTGAAAACGCTCTCACGAGTCAGTGGGACAGATATATCCCACTTTTATTCAGTAAACTGCTGCCTTGATTTTCATATTTTATTTCATCAAATATTTTTTTAGTTTATATCAATATACCTCAGCCAGTTTTTATATCACAGAGTCAAAAATATAGGACAATTTACAAAGAATTAAATATCAGAGGTCCGCTATGGAGAAAAATTTAGAAATAAGGGAATGTTCTCATGTCAGTGCTACTGTTTGGACGAGCTGTTCATTGGAAGTGACACGATGTTCCTTGCTACCCAACTCTGTCACCACTTCTCATCATTCGATCAAAATTCAAGCTTCTAATCGCCACAGCAATATGCACATCCAATGAGTAGGTAATGCTTTTCTAACAGGTGTCAATGAGAACTCGCTTCCAAACACCGCAGTGCTTGCAACATGTGCCTGTCCAGTACAGTAATGCCGCATCTTGACTTTTGAAATTAGTGCATCGGCATCTCGGGGTCCATTTGGTGCACACCACTTAGTAGTAATTGCTCGGAAGCGATAGCTTTATGGTTGGTAACCTTGGCTCCCAAGTACTGTGTTTCACTGGTTCAAATCCTGGCACTTCGTTCGCACTGTGGCATTGGTGAAGGTGCATGGGCACGATGGCACGCTCTGATGAAAATAAAAGTGGTCGTTCTGTGCTATTCGCGACGGTGGTCATTGTCCAACAAATTGGAAGAGCACAAGCTAGGTCCCACCACAACCGTTTAGCTGTTCTTGATAACATCTCAGTAGAAGCAGTAAAACTTTTCATTGACATCACACTTTTAGTTCCCACACTCACTTCATTATTGTGCAGGCTAAGCAACTTCCATAAGAAATGCAAAGAGCTCTAGTCAGTTATTTCAACGTGACAAAATTTGTAATAGGAAATTACAGACTCTCATTTTAATTTAGCTAGTAAAAGGTGTTTAGAAAACACACCGGGGTAAAATAGCCTTGCATTGTCAATGGGACGTGATGTATTCATCAAGGAGTCCACAAATGCATTTCGGGCACTGTGCAAACCAATAGGCCTTATCCTATGTTTATCTGGTGTAACAAATGTAGTCTTTTCACTGTTCAGATCATCAAGATAAGTTTGCCAGTATTCTAAGCTCAAGTCAAAAGACGCAAAATGGGCAAACACTTGCAGATGGTAGTCAGTGTCATCAATCCAAAGCAGAAGGCGGAAGTCCTTGCACGTGCGTTATTTTGTTCAAGCGATAATAGCCCATGCTGAAGAGACAGCAGCCATCCTTCTGTCCTAGCATAACTGGCGTTGCCTACGAAGTGCAGGATCTTTCAGTGATGTCTTTCATGAGAATGTTTTCCACCTCAAACGGAACTTGTCACTCAACATAGGACATAAGATAAGGAAGTCGTTGCATGGCCTTGGTGTCTCCAGTGTTGATCCCGTCTATGAGGGACAACTGACACAACTGAAAGGGCACTCATCAAAGCCGAAGACATTGTGGTTAAGATACGATGTAGACCTGATATTGGCTGTCTGTGCTGGAAGGTGGCCAGGGGCGATCATCTTATCAATATGGCAAAGAAAAGACAAACAAGCATCATCAATAAATGAAGAAACATCATATTTATCAATAAAGGAAATTTTCGCTACAGCCGCACCATCTGGGATATGATGCTTGCATCAGCTGAAGTTCAATGTTGACGGAGGCATTGAATTATTCGTAACAGTGTGAAGAGCAATGACATTACTGACTGATAAGAAGTTTTCAATAGGAGCCAACATGTAATCACCAGAGGAATAGCAGAAGAAAACCTCTCACACATGACAACTTGAGGTGCTAGACGAACCTAGTCCACAGAATGCAAACGCAGCTGAGATGAGGTTGAATGAAGTGTCAGAGCAATATGGTCAATCGAGCTGAAGCAAGCCACAATCAAGAAGGGCAGAATGGGCGAAGAGAAGATTGATTTGCGGGAGCACTTCTCCAGCCCAGCAAGTAGTACGGCTGTGAAGCAGTCAGAACACGTGTGGAGCATCTACCAAGCACGGGAAACATTCTGCTGTCGGCGACCTGGATGAGTGGCTACAAGGGCGGTGTTAAAGCTTTCTTTAGGCGACGGCGAAGCCCCAATTTCGTCACTAATAAGTACGCCGCCCTAGTGTCCCCAACAGCAGCAAATACACTGTCAACTTCAACTCCAATATGGTTGAATCTAGCCAGCAGCATAGTGTGAGAATTTTTTTGGCGAGTCAGCAGTGTCGTCAGAATCATGCAGGGATGATGAACATGGAACAAGCGTCATCACTGGTGGTCCAAGGTGACTCTCCGCAAAGTTGGAAGCGCCCGTAATCAATGTCTGTGCCATAGTTGTACACGTGCGATGCCCGATACCAATATTAATGGCTGCTGCAACGACAGGCCACATGCTCAATACAACTGTAGTTACAGCGGATGGGATGGTTATGGGCAGTCCTGCACTCTGCTGGGTTGCGAAACACATCGGCGGCCTTGTGTCTACACGGGTGAGAGATGAGAGTCAACTGGTTGGTGCACACCGAGTCCATTGGAAAGATCTTCACAAAGGATAGTATACACTGGTGGTACATGGGCAAAGGCAAGTGACCAAGTTCACGTCGCACTATCTTTGTCTCTGCAGTCAGCGGTGCCAATAGTGCTGGTATGTCTTAGCATGACTGTGTTGCTGCTGTGTTCGAAAATGGATGGGCAAAACACCAACATTTGGCAGCGTCAAAACAATATCACTTCTGTATCGTGCAAACTCCTCGCAGATTAGTGGATCCAACGTATCTGCCCAGTCTTCTGAGATATGCTAGACTTTCCGGGACTTCATCCTGCCATCTACAAGGTAGGTATTCTTCGACCAGTATTTGAGCACAAGATGCCATCTTCGTTTTGTTTTTTCTACTTGCAGACTGGCTAAACAGAACACAGTTTTCGACTTCCCAGCTTCAAATTTCACCTTCGCGATTCCAGGACCACACTTCTGCTGTCCTTTTTTGGACGAACTACGATGTTCGACATAATTGTGTAATCCAAGTGATCACTTCTGCATGTACGTTCATACAATGGCAGCCACTCTACACTGTCGACGCCGTAAGTCACGCGAATTGAGCCAGAGTCTTTTAGATGAGCAAGGAGAACCATCGTCATTGATACTTCAGTGGGAGCCAACTACTCTTCTGCCATTGTGAACAATCATAAGCGCCATTCGCTGCACAGCTCCCCTGCACCGTATTGTTGCCGAACAGCTCCAGTCTTGAGAGTACACGGGGAGAAACAGCTACAGCCAAGATGGTTGAAGGGCAACAACTCTAGCTCTACTGCAATCATCATTTCCATCTCCTTGCAGGAGTGTTTTTCTTGTTTTCAATTGCTTCTAACAGCATTTTGATAAACTGAATCGTTAGCCAACAAAACACTGGTCTACTGAAGCAATATCTGTAAGGCAAGAACAAGCTATCCTGCAGCATTCTATGATAGAAAAATCAGGGTTGTACGCACAGACTTCTAACGCTTTTGACTGCATGAATACATGTTATACTGCTGAAAAATGGTATCCGTGGTAATGTCTTGCACTTAAGCGAATCTTAATCATACCCCAGTTAGCAATATGCTGGGTTTTGGAAAGGCCAATGTCCAGAGTTTAGAATGCTACATCGAAAAGTGCCACAAATGTGTTTGGGCGACTGCTGTAAATGGTTTATGTGAACAATACATAAAAAGATTCAGATGTGAAATTTCTCTTAGACTGACGAGAGCAATATTATAGGGTTCTTGAAGAAAACAGTACAGAAGGAATGATCAAGCAAGAATTGTCCATAAACAAGCATTTTAAGTATATTGTCTCATGAACATAAGGTACATGGCAGTAACGAACTTAGTTCTTTCTGTTTCTGAGTCACAACTCATTAATCTCTGAATTTCAAGATTTTCACTAAGAGGGGCCCTGCAACACTTTTCCAAAAAGCCATGGAATGGATTCCCTAAAGGAACTTTTTGCCCCTTGAATTCACCGGTGCTAAAACTTCTAGAATCCGTCTAGTACCAATGGAGTTAGAGATTTGTTGCAAGCATGCTGCAGTTGTATTCTCACGTCCAGACAAAAACGCTGGAAGCTAAGCAGGGAGGAATGCACTGGGAAAGACAATACATCATGCACACCTAGTGACCTAGAGCCTTTTTTCAACAAATACATGGCTCTTCAATGTAATCATGTGCACGCCATGCTCAAATCAGCTAATGAATGGCTGATATTTTGCTTGTGATGCAGAATTTTTTTTAGCCTGTAGCGTCATTTGTCAAAAAAAGAGAAAGCAATTTTAAGCTTACCTTGAGAATTTATTGTAACTGCAAGGCTGAGTGCTGTGCTATAGTGTTTGGCTCGTGTGTTCCCAAGAGCCTTGACTACCGATCGGCAGCTTTTTTTGACCCTGCTCGAAAACTGTTGCAGGGCCCGTTTACAATGAACCTACGAGGCTTTGAAAGGTACAAAGCACTGGATTACCCAAACCATGTGCAACAAAAAGTGCGCGAGTGGCTCGGTCTTCAGTTCAATGCCTATCGAAATGCCACTGTCAACGACCCAAAAAAAACTAGCAAAGATGACAATGGCACCAATATATAGAGAATCAACTTTCTCATAAGTATTGTGAGTCCTTTGTACAACTCTAAATGCATCACATGGGATTTGCACTAATTTGATGAAGCAATGAACAAAAAAAATTTGGAACCCTTTATTCATCTTGTGACAATGAACAGGTGCATTTTATTTTTAGGCCACAGATTCTATGAATTTTACCTCACTTCACAAAACGTCTGCAAGAGGCTGTATGCTGCATAACTTCGGGGCTTCAAATATAAATACAGCAGCAGCTTCTCTTGTTCCCTCCATACAAAATATCGATGTTGATTCCTCACATACATACTGAGAGACATTTTGAGCTTGCGAGGTGAAAGGTACCAGGACGATAACACACATAAAAAGACACTCTGACACAGGGTTCAAATGTGCCCAACGAATGCTCTTCATAAGTCCTGCTCACACTGAACACAAGAGAGTCGTCTAAGAAAAGCAAAAAATCCTTTAGAGCACACAAGAAACCATCTCAGCCAGAGAAAAAAGTTTTTGAAGTGAGACAAGCTTTTTTCAAAACAAAGAGCCGTGATGAATAAGTTGGCCGTGACCCAGTGAATACAAAACAATAGCAATATTTTAGGGATCTTAAGTGCCATTGAGCATTAAGGTAAACAGCAGCAGGGAAGTCCAGACTGGTATATACAGGCTGCAAAGATTTCGAGAGAGCTGAACACACTGCTTGATCCTGTGAAGTGGATCAATGTTTCAAGCCATAGGCTAAGCCAACACAAAGTTAGAAGAGTGTCTCTTGGCGATTTCACGGTTGAGATAATGGTCTCGGTTCTAGCCAAAAGTGGATTCAAACCACAGTAGGACGTATTACTGCTCAAAAAACTGCTTCAAACTAGCAACTGAATAAGCCAGCTACCAGGCACCGAGTTGCAATGAATGAGCACTCGAAGAGAGAATGATCATTGAACCAGCATTTTTTTTTTTTTTCATTCTAAGAGCCACTCTACTTGAAGACGACTGCACTTTATTTCTGTTTTACATGGTGTCTGACGTATGTGTGTCGTCTTGGTGCCTTTCACCACCGAACACAGAACGCAGCAGCAGGGTTTTCTGTGGGCACTCGATTGAGCATGCCAGCTGCTCAGTGATAACATCAGGAAAGGAGTGACAACTTACCCGCTGGGGAGGCGGCTGTGTTTCCGAACCTACCATGCTCATTTAGTCCTCTGCAAAACAACAAAACCGCAAGTGTAATGCACACACCAGCACCGATCGAAAGTGCCCGTGGTGTCACACATTACACACTCACGTAAAACGCAACAAGTTCCTGGATTCATTGCGCCACATGAAAAACAAAGTGTGACAAGGTTTTGGCGGCAGCAGCAGTCTATATAAGCTGCCACTTGCACAGAGGTTCGTTCGGTCAAAGGGCTTTTTCGGGCACTACGTATGATAAAATGGAACGCGGCGACAATGGGCTACGCGCATATAGATCTACACTGCAGTTCAGCGAGAGTTTTTTTGCCTGCCCTGGGCGTAAAGCTGTCCTGCGGGGGATAAGCGTATGTCCAATGGCAGTTTCCTTGGCAACCGCCCGGAAGGCATGCGATCCACGAGAAGCCGCCGCTGTTGGGGGTGCTTGCATGGACGACTCGCAGTCGGGCAGTCGACGGCGCATTACGCACTTGGCGCGTCGGGGCCTGCCGGACGGGCCCCATAAGCGCCGAAAACGTTATGTTCACCTCAGCAAAGCGATTGACAAGTTCGACATGAAGGTCCCAAAATAGTGCCGAGCCAAACCTCTCTTTAGGCTTAGTAAACGCTTCGGAAACAAGTCAAACGTAGGAGTACTTGTCCAGGGCAGAGGTGCCGCCGACGGAGATGCCGAAACCGCTGCTCGATGAGGACTCACTACTCGGGCCCTTGGCCTTGAGTGCGACGTTAGCGCTGGCTGCAGCAGCGCGCTCGCAGAATGGACGCCATTACGCCATTGCGGCCATCTTCAATGTTGCTGGCTTGCTTCCGGAGGCGAAGAAGGATTTCCCCAAATATTCCCCGCATATCCCGAGAGTTTCCCTGTTGACTACTCAGCCAAATCAAGATGCCTGAAATAGTCTGCTGTTTAATCTTTGTTTGAAAAGGCACGTATGTTCTTGATAACGAAACTGCCGATACGCTGTGCACCAGCAGTTTCCACTTCCGTCTGGCGATCATAGCAACTTGCGGCGAACGCCGGGACCTGATCGGATTCTCTGCGGGTGAATTATGTTTGGAGCCCGCAGCGCTTTGCGAAGGTAAGCCGCATGTCTGGCTCTTTCGGCCGCGCACGTCTCATCAAATGGCGAGAGCTTACGTGTAAAAAAAAAAAGAAAAAGATTGGCGTTCAAAAACGTGTTTGCCATACTGAGAGTCGTGTAGAAAATTTTCGAACATCTCAAGGGCGAATGGATTTTGCCTTCCCACTAGGAAAGAAACGAACCAATCCTAGGCAGAAAGAGCAACTGGGATTCAGCGACGCGTACAGAAAAAAAAAAAAAAAGCAGCATGCACACGAGGCGTTAAGCTGGGCATGCATGCCCAAGTCGTCCTACGTACCACCACTTGAAACATTCGAATTGTACGTCGTAAAGCTGGCACTACGATTTTATCGGCCGCCATAGGGGCACTGACTGTTGTGGCCAATCTTTTTGTGCCGATTGTGAAGAAATGGTTCGTGTGTCGAGCCGCTTTTGCTGCGGCGGAGGCGTTGCTCAGTGGCCGGCAGAGACGCGCTAAATGCTGTGCCCAACGAGTGTTCGCTGCGGTGGAAGTTTTCGCTGTCATACAGACCGCGCGCGTGCTGGTGCAATTGCGTTCAAGGTGACCCTCGTTGTCGTAGTACGAAGGAAAAAATAAGCAAGGAAAAAGTCGAAGATTTGGTAAAGCGTGAGGTTCGAAACATAATAGCAGGACATTAAAGTAGTAAGCAAGAGAAATTCCCATTATTATTAGCTGGGGCGGCCTCGAGTCGCACTCCACTTGTGAAGAACGAGAACAAAATCGCTAAAAAACTGGACAGCCTCGATTTAGTCATGATATAAAGAGGGGACCTAGGATTACTCTAGAGAACAAACATGACATTTCGGGACAGCTAGAAAACTGCAGGCTAGAGAGAATGAATGACAACATAGATTCTTTTTGCAGCAATTGAAGTTCGAGGTAAGCACCACAAGAAAGTAAGCAAGGTCTCCGAAATCATGAAAGAAAATACAGCAGGTGAAATTGACTTCTGTAAGCGATAAATAGACTTAGTAAGATATGCGGAGCTATCAAAGCTGATCAACAAGCAAAGTCCGAGACATATATATGCATATGTTAAGCCAATGAGATGAGAGGTAGTAGCATTGAAGCAGCTAAAAAGAAACCACAGTGAGGACAACAATGTGCGTGTTGAAAGGTGAGCAGGACATTGTTGTGAGCAGTTTCATTGACATATTGAAGCTTACAGACAACTGCTTTTCTGAACTGTACAGCTTGCAGAGAAGTTGGCTGTCACGGTAGTTTAGGTGCTCAGCCCGTAAGGCATAGGTTCAATCCCGGCCGCAATTCGGCAGAGGTGAAATGGTTGTCCACTGTGCGATGTCATTGCACTTGAAGAACACCAGATGGTAAACAGTTCTGAAGCCCACCACTACAGCGTCCATCGTTATCATGTTGTGCTCCACATATTGTTATTAGTAGTACTATTATAATTGCAGAGAAATCATCCGACCCTAAAGGTGAGGTGTCACCAAATTTTCAAGCTATTAAAGGACTGTTATAGGTGTGAAACAAAGCTCTGTGTGTAGGTGCGCCCTTTAGCTTTCTGTCCCGTCTCGGCGCACTATTCCACGCTCACTGTGTACCAACTGGCCCGCCAACAATCATTGCTATTGTTTTAGGCTTCCTCTGTGAAACTCGGCACTAAGTGTTGGACACAAACATTTCTAATCAATTTTAATTCTCTATCAAAGTTGACCCATAAATGCTCTTTCTCACAAACAAAACCCATTGCTAGTGCGATTGACACAGATATCACTCTATAGAAAGTGTAGTGAAGGTTTTATTGGCATCAGAACACATTAAAGTGACGGCAATGAAAGTAGCAGTGGACAAACAAGGGCACAAAAACAGGACACACAACACGGGTGCTAACTTCCAACTTAATCTTTATTTCCACAATTATTTACTTAAAACATCTGAGGAAAAGCATCATATAACATATTGTGTGCAAAAAGATTCATTTCTAAGGAACAGCAGCTCTTTATCACTTTGGAATAAGTGATAGGGTACGAAGGACACATTGCAAAAGTTCAATATGTTTGCACACTTATTTGCTTTAGCACAGCTGCTGGCTTTAGCATACTGGGTTGTCACAGCCTTAAGTGGGAAAGGCTGTATAGGTGGGGCCACCTAGGGGTGCTAAGATGAGCCACCTGATAAGTACAGAATTCTTGTTGCAGAAACCTTATGTATTCTACTTCTCTGTCGGTGTAAATTTTAAGCATCGGCATAGTTCTCTGTATATTTCGCTTTTCATGATTTGTTTTGCCGCAGTTATGCAGTGAAAACAAAACAACGCTTCTATAATTGTGGCAGCATGAAGGATCACAAAATGTGGATACTATCATCCAGTAACCTGGTACAGTGCGGTCCACAGTAAGGGGGAGCACGCAAACGCGTGGCACGAACTGGTGGCGATATTTGTAAATGTGGTGCACGCACATAAAAGCGTAAAGGCGGTGCTTGTCCGATTTCGTCTGCTACTTTCTGCGCTTGCCGAGCGCTTTCGTTTTTCCGCGGAATGATCCATGCAGTCGCTGGTCTGTCGGCATGCGCCCAGTCAGGTAGTCGGCAGGCGCACGAAAAGTCCAGCTTGCTTTTTGCTGTGATATGTCACCAGTTTTGAAACAATGTGGTTCACACCCACAGTGGTAGACTTTCTAATAAAGCAGATATACAATGAAAAGCCATGCGAATATATTGAGAAGCCTGTTAATAAGCGCTCAGTAATAATGTTAGGACTTAACGTTGCAGAACAGCGGTTCGATTATGAGCGATAGAGTGGAAGGCTCCAGAAATTTCAACTTCCTGGGGGGTGTAAATCAAAGTACACGGGCCTCGAATATTCCCGCCTTCATCGATAACTCGGCTGTCACGGCCGGTATTTTATGCCATGTCCTGGAGGCGAGCAGTCGAGCACCGTAACCCCCTCGTGACGAGTTAAGAAGGATGAAATTTCTTCGAAGGATCAAATCATCAAATCAAATCAAAGTTTATTTACATCCTGAAGATGTGGGCAAGCTTGGGCGAAAAGCGAAACAATTCGCTTGAGGAAAGCCCAAGCCCCCATATACGAGGCATAGCAGCAGAGACACACAAAGATGTGAAAACGCTATCAGAAAACAAACTAGCGCGTTACATACATGAAAAAAAAATACTAACACAGATACTCTCACGGAATCATACCAGCGCGTTACAACAATGATACAGGGTATGTGTAAATGTTCATGCCGATAGTCAATCGATAAAGATAATGATTTGACCCAACAATTTATTCAAGAACAACAGGCAAACATCAAACAAACAAAAGCAATGTATACAGTACAGCAATTTTTTTTTTTTTTTTTACGGTGATTGGTTACAGGAAGTGTTTTTTAATATGACTTATACTGCGTTTCTCTACTTCTATTTCACTTCTGAGGAGAGTATTTAGCAAGTGAGGCAAACAATACTGTAACATTTGTCGTCCGTATTCAGTTCAGCAGAAGGGGATGTTCCAGAAGTCTTGTTTGCGGAGAGAATAGAAAGGAACATTTCCTCTTAGATTAGCAAGATTTAGAAGGTCATGCTGATTTTATAAACAACCTTTTTATATCTGATAGCTAGTTTCCAATCATAAAATTTTTCTATGGGTACAACGTTAAAACGATGAAACAAATCCTTTGTGTGCGCATGATATTCAACGTTAGCTATGGACCGAAGAGCCCTTTTTTGTAACATTAATATTCTATGGTTATTTCTCTGTGTGGAATTTCCCCACACCAAAAAACAATAATTTATGTGAGATAAAAAAAGCGTGTTGTACAGCATGAGTTTTATCGATACAGGAAGAATGTGTCGAAATTTTGCAATAGCACCCACACTTTTAGCCACGTGAGATTGAACGTGGTCGAAATGATCGTCCCAGGACATATTTTTTTGAAACAGCACACCTAAAATTTTTATTGAGTTCACAAATTCTATAGGTGCCGTGCCTAAAAATAAGGAACTATCAATGGTAACTGAAAGCTGACGCAGATGAAAAAGAACGGCCTTTGTTTTTTTATCATTGATCAACAGCGAGTTTTCTTTACTCCACTTTTGTATGTCTTCAAGGGCGTTATTTATTTCAGGTGCTAAAATTTGCAAATTTTTTCCAGTGAAAAATAAGCTAGTGTCATCAGCGTAAATTACATAAGTTGGTGTTTTGTTGATAGTGTTTATATCGTTTATGTAAAGGATGAACAATAAAGGACCCAATATGCTTCCTTGTGGAACGCCAGTGACTACCTGCTGTAACGATGAAACGGCCGTTCCTATGCTGACACATTGAAACCTATGCTTCAAGTAGGATTTTATCAAAAGCAGTGGCACGCCGCGAATACCATATAGTTGCAGTTTTTCTAACAAGGTTGCATGCTGAATCCGGTCAAAGGCCTTAGAAAAATCTATGTAAATGCCTACACATATCTGTTTTAATTCAAAAGCCTTAAGAATGATTTCCTTCTGGGTTAGTAGTGCAGATTCAGTTGATTTGCCGTGGAGAAAGCCATGCTGAGACTCATTAATTAAATTGAAAGCGTGACTAAATTTTGTTATTCGTTTATGAATAATCTTCTCAAGGCCCTTTGAAAATATAGGCAATACAGAAATCGGCCTGTAATTCGACAACTCATTCCTATCGCCCTTTTTGTGCAGGACACTAACTTTAGAGATCTGCATCATTTTCAGAAAACAGCCTGTTGCTATTGCAAGGTTGTATATGTGGGCAAGCAAAGGAGCAATGACGTCAAGCACAAACTTTACCGGCTCGATCTGTATATCGTCAATATCCCTAGCTCTGCTGTTTTTGAAAGACGCATAAATATCTCGCACCTCGTGTTCATCCGTTGGCTCTAAATAAATACTGTGCTTATTTTCCTTAATACCATAGGTTGCAGGAGGGATGCACTGTCCGATACTAACCGCATCCCGAAAGAACTTATTGAACGCTTCAGCAAGTTCTTTTCCGCAT